TATTAGACACAGACAATAAACATATTTATTATTATACTATATTATTTGTTATAATTAATATTTAATTTCTATTGCAGCAACTATGGATGAGGGTGCTGTTGCCGTAACTATTAATGAAAATCTTTTCGTGGAAGAAGACCTAGAGGGCTTGGAAGAAGAATTGGGGGACCTGGACTTGGAGGAGTAAGCCAGATGTCCCCGATCGTGTCTCCTCACTATTCCTCTGGTTTATCCTTTAAATACGTATCACTCGGATAATCATTAATCTTCAATGTGATGCATTGTATATTGTATATATTGTATCGTGTTTACATAAATACTGTATTTGTGTATTCAAACATGTATAAGCTGACATCACGCAAAGTGATACATCAGAACTCAATACCGTCTCCATTTCCACCGATTAAAATTAAGTTTGTCTTTTTATAATGTCAAGTTTATCTAATTACCTACGTTTTTATATATATATATATATATATATATTCAGCATATTTAGTGTTGCACATTAAATAATGTATATTATTTTTGTAATATCGACATATAATGGCATTTGTGTCCGATATACAATATCATACAAAAGCTCTTCTTATTTTATTAAAATTTTTTACGTCACGAACATAAAAAGGAACGAAATATGCAGTCTAGTCAAGAAGTTGTCCAGATATAAATATATCAATAAAATAATAAAAGTATAGAAAGATATCAAAATCCTGATAATACAGTATATTCTATGATAACTCAAATATACTTTTATGGGAATATTTTTACAAAACTATTACATTTTTCTCAATTTCCACAGCAGAAGCTATCAAAACAATTTTCCTATATGTAACAAGTTGTGATGTACCATTTATAAACAGCACTATAATTCCTATCTGAAAATACCGAGAAAAAACAGATTAAAAAATTGATTGTATCAATTAATAATTAAATTCCATAATTTTGTATCATTGTTTAATTTAACTCGATTTTATAATGTCAAGGAATTTTATAGAATATATAATAAAGTTATTAATAATTTATTAATATATTTATGTGAACTACATCATTATATTTTTGATAAGCGTTTATCATAAAAAAATAGTTCAAAAATATAGTGTGCGTTAATTGAAGTCTATTTTTCATATTTTGAAAAAGACATGAACACACTACATCCATTTTCTACCCTATAATTATCCTGTAATCGAGAATAGATTGAAATGGAAGATTTTCAGAAATACATATTCGCGAACATTGAAATGAATCCTTTTTAATCCGGAATGCATTTTTATTCATTTATAGGAATTGCATAAAGCACATTTCTATACCTTTCAATTTAAAAATAATAGCTTTTTTCCTGTGCATCATAAATACCGCTCGATTCGAAAATTCTGAAAAGGAAATGCAGTTTTTTAATCCAGTTTAATCCATTTTCATTTACTAGGTAGTCACCGCAGCATTTGCCGCAGCTCACCGAATACATGGATTCTTAAATGTAAATCAAATAACACAGAGCTGTGTGGGATTTAGTTGCACATTTCGGCTCGATTTCGTTGGCGACGCCCACTGTTCTCTTGCCGCGCATTGTCTAGCAACGAATCGTCGGATGCTTGTAAACAACGCGCGTATCGCTTCATCTCAGAGAAGCGTTCTTACTATTAACTATAAACTATACTATACAAATGGAACTAATGAATCTCCCTCAACTTAAATAATGAATTAAAATTTTCTTTTTAGATAATAATTTTGAATTAATAATTGAAAATATTTTTATTATTAATATTAATAGTAATAATAATATAGTATTATTATTATTAATATGCTACTATACCCTAGTGACTAGTGCATCCCAGCCGAAATCGCTATTCACTGTACAACGGTCTTTATATGCATCAGTGCACACTAGTGCATCCCAGTCGAAATTGCTACAAGGTTGTAGGCACGTTGATAAAAAAAATTAATTTAAAAAAAAAGATTCTACATTGCTATTTTTTCTAATTTTATTTAAATAATTTTAACATTAAAAAACGTTTTTTTAATGTTAAAAAAATGTTTCTTCGAACGTTAAATAAACCTTTTTTTAACGTTAAAAAAATGTTTCTTCAAACGTTAAAATAAACGTTTTTTTAATCAAAAAAAGATGACTTAACCCATTATTTTTGACGTTTTTAAAAATGTTTTTTAAATATTTTTAAAAACATTTATCTGTTGATTGGGATGACGTTCGGAATATGACACCGTTTAAGGTCATATTAACGCTACCCATTCGTTCACCGACAATCGAGCAATCAGGTAGCAGTGCGAACAACTTCGTTCGAGCCGAAACAATTTATGAACGATTAGAAACTGCAGTTGACTGCAATAATTAATTAATCATCTCTTCTAATCAACCATATAAGCAATGAATATTTACCGAAGCGATTATACCGCAATGAATAATATTTATTACATTGAAATTGACATGAATTAGTAATGGAAGTTAAAAATATTATCACTTTATTAGAACGTTTATTTTATACTTATTACATTAAAAATGTTTAAGTGAAAATTGTTTTTTCAAACATTTTTTAAATATACCGTTCCAATTATTAATAGATAGATTCGCTGAAATACACGTCGCATTTGATATTGGCAGTCGAAAGCTTCGTACGATCGTCGCATTCAATACCGGCGGTGCTATGGAAGGTTTCACGTGATCATCACATTCAGTATCGGCAGTACTGCGAAAAGCATGATTATCGCATTCGGTAACTATTTTATGCGTAATTGTAAATAACTACGAGTGCGGCAAATGAATTAAAAGAATAAGGGAGGATTAGAAGGAAGCTTGAGAGTCATTGGGACCCTAGTATATAGTTACAACCGACATAATATGCGTAGTATCTGCTAAGATAAGAATAATTTTGAATCGCATAAAGTGTAATGATAATTGTTACAAAAACACATTAATAGTCAGAGATTTTATCTTTTCTCTTACGTCTGTTTTATAATAATGTTATAAATAATGTAAAACGGAAAGAATCGATATACTTCCACTACTGCTTAAAAATTAATACAGTAATAATTGAAAAAAGAGAAAGCAATATTATTTTAGAGTTAATAAAAAAACAGTTAAACATGTAATAGGAAATTAATATTATAATTATAAGAGGATAATCTACAATAAAAATAAAACGTTATAAAACATTTGTAAATAAACACGATACTGATGATGCAAGTTTGTTGTTTATTTGTATCACATAATTAGGAAACGAACAAATACAATAAAAACATATAAATATAATTCATATTTTTGTTTGAAAAAATATGTATATAATATGTATTCTTTGTAGTTCCTCAATCTCATTACAATCATTTTTCTAGTTTTTCGGTGTGGGTTTCGTCTGAATTCCATTCCATGAAAAATGCAGCTAATTTCTTCCCTTAAATACAAAATATAGTTTCATTAATATATGTATGACTAATTTGCACACTTTTTGTTTTTCTAATGTCTACGTTGTAAAGTTTCTTTCTTTTAATTTGATCTTGTACATGATTGCGATATCATGATTAATTGCTAGCGGCTCATCTATTTTTGGTAACGTACATCGCAACAAATATTTTTGTAATAAAAATATGCAATATCAAATATAACTTTTAAAAACATATAATAAAAAATATAACAAACACACAATTGCTCAAATAGAAAGAAATTTCGAAAATGCGCAGATCTTTAAAGTTTACAGAAATAGGACAATATAAAAATATGTTGATCGTTAGGCAAGTTATTGCTAAAATAAGTCTGTAGACAGTATTGAAGACTATATAATAATCATTTATACTATCCGTAGCATGAAATTCCATAAGTACCTGGATATCTTGTCATACCGGAAGATTTCTGGATATTGTTTTTATTATAGTGACCCCTGTTGAAAAAAATGTCAAATTTAATATAAATCACATGTCCCAAACTTTTCACTCAAATTCTCTGGTTAACTTCACACAAGATAAATATGTTAGAAGATTATTCAAATATTATGTAAAAGAAAAAAATACAAAAAAGGTACATCAGTCCAGTTTGTAAATAAACTGTAGAAGCATATTCTTTTTTAGTAAAATTAACATTTATGATATGTCATAAATTAATTCATATTTCCATTCATCTTAGAATTTACATTTTAAAACACATTATCTTGTGTATTTCATAAACAAATAAATATAATATAGAAATATATCATAGAGAAGTACAATATAATACGTAGAATTAAAATTTATATTTGTTTA